ACAAACAGTCTTCAATGCGGATTACAGGCAATGGACCTAACCCAGTTTTGGAAACAACTGGCGCTGATGAAGCCTAGTTCCGTGGAGAATAACTCAAATATTCAAAACATCGATATGTTGCGCGCTTTACGGAAGTAATCCCAGCTGTATCCAGTGGCTTTTTCCCGTCAGCGTGCCCCAAATCGCCAGTCCACCCTTGCAGAGCAGTAAAACTTGTGTGGGTTTTTCTCTCTGTGAACAGGATGGCATTCTTACGATGCAATCCTATGCGGATTTTCCCAGAAGGAAGTCACACGCAGTAACTCAGTTTAGGACTGCATGCTCATTGTAGAGTCGAAGTTCATTATAGTGGTACTGTTCCGAGGCTAACGATGGCGTTTGTCAGTTATTTTCTTTCCTGGGATGCAAACCAAGATTGGGATCTTATGCTAACTGACCCAGCAGCTAGCCCCACTAAAATTCAGCAGGCTTTTCCCCCCTTCAGGATCCCACTGCTCTGTGAATTCCATGGGGTGTGGATGGTTCTGATGCTTTAATTAAACACGCCTAGAACAGAGAATGATATAATCTAGCAACACTGTGTCCCTATTCTCAGGGTTCAAAACCCCATTCGAAACAAATGTTGACTTACATTTTATATACTCAGTAGTCTGGGATTAAGTCTCGTTGACCTCAATGAAATTTAGTGTTGAATATACAGTACATAAGATCGCGCTGTTAATCTAGACTGAAGCCTCGAGTAAAGCCGATGGGACACACTTTGGGATGGGGCATACCTTTGACAAAAGCCTCGAAGGATCCATACTTTGGATCCCGACCTAACTTTGACAACAGTTTACGAATTTGAATGTAAGGGGTGCCTTAGGAAAACCCGTGCTTCTGCTTCTTTTGGATGCGGAGTCCGTGACAACCTGAAGGAGGAATTCGTCTCTTCTAAAGGCTAATTGGGGAGGGGGGGAGTCACAACAGGGCCAGGAGTTCTCTTTTGCCATTCCCTAGAGAATGAATGAAAACTATGCACAATGGTAGGTGCGACTCCTATTCCTTTCAATGGGCTTGGAGGACTGAGTAGCAGAACGTCTTGGTGGATTGTGCCCCAAACCAGGGAGCAGCTCTTTCGAGGCAGCAGAATTAGGCTCCAGAGTTGATATGGCCCAGGTTTCTCGAGCCAAAGCAGCCGGGCTAAAGAGGTCTTGACATTTTACCAGTCTTTATGGCACGAAGTGTCATCAGCTTCCATCACGCACGCAGGCACACAAGAGACGAGTGCTATAGATAGACCTGGGTGCTGGGAGCAGGGAAAGAGGCAATGAAATGCCTTTGGAGTGGAACTAATAGTAAATTATAACCGTTTTCATTCTCAAACGGAAGGAGAGGGAGGGAGAGAAAGAACACGGCACGTTCACAGCTTCGCAGCCTCACCGATCCACCCCAATTCTAAGGAAATCAAGGGGTTCTGAGAGCGTGGGGTTGTTTCTAAATGCATTGTGGAAAACGAAGATGGAAGCTGCAGAACCTGTCTTGTATTCTGTCATACTATGATATTGCTGCTTTGGTTGGAAACTGTGACACTTTATTTAATCTGGGGTTTAGAGAAGGCATGGCGGAGCAATAGTCTAAGCCTAAATCATGGCTACAATCGTGTGCACACCAGTTTTGGATTTATTTATTTAGTATTTTTTATCCATATAATCGATTTATACTGCTTGCCATAGAGGAAGGGGCTGTGTGGAATTCAGCAGGACATAATTGCGGGTGGGCATGCTTGGAGTTGGGCTGCATATAGGTCTAGGCATACCATCTTCCGCTCCTAAAAACTCATTTACTTTGGTACAGTGGGTGTGCTCATTTCAACAGAATAAAACGGTTAGTAATTGGTAGCATAAAACGCTCCTTTGCAATAGATCATTCGGTTTAATGGGCTTAAATCTGTCTGTGTGAGCAATTTGAAAAATTACATACAGAGAAATATAATGATTTTTTTTACTTCTAGTCATTAACACAATACTGATGTATGGGAGAAATTGTCCTGTGAAAGGTAAGGCAAGTAGAATTGCAGTTCCATACCTCGGTGTAAATTTTTACTAAACTCGCCGGACCTTACATCCTGGTAGAAACGCAGGAGATTATGCTCTTAATTCAGGAACTCTGTTTAATCGAATCATCGCTTTCACTCAGATTCGAAACGCTCTCAGTGGAAATTCCTTCTACGGAAGGGATGGGCTTTGAATCAGTGTCCATCAAAACAAACCTGCGATACGCACAACCCTATATCCGCACTTCGACTCCTCTCATGAACAGCGGGAGCCGTCGGAGGAGGCGTCCCTCACACGGTCCCTCAGACTCTCCCAAGGAGAGCGGTAAGTGGGAAGGGAAGATCACACTACGGAAATTTTTAAGAAAAAAACAAAAGCGAGAAAACTCCATAGACTTCATCTATGTCATTTGGGCGTGCTTTGGGGTTGCTGTTGTTTTTAAATACCCCGATGACAAACGTTATTTCCAAACAAGTAGTCTCGAATGTTGCACGGGAAAAAATATTCGCGTGTCTTGAGAAGCAAATATTATTCTGTTCTAATGTGTTTTCCAGATCCGGTTAGTTTTCTCAGGACATCTGTGAGAAAATAAACTGTTGGCTCCAATAAATATTTTGTTTTTTTAAAAACCCTATTTATTGTCTTTACAGCCACATTTTGTTCCTGCAAATGCCATCTCTGTGTCCTTCAGGGCCTCATTAACTCTTTGTAATATAATATACCAAACACACACACATATTATACAGCTTTCGTCCCAATACTGTATAGTTAAAATAAGGTTCTGCTTGAGAGTCTTTTGATTTGTTTTCTATGATGATATGCCTCAGTGGGGAGAAAGTTAACCAGGATCTAGCAAAAACAGAAATAGTTTTTTTTTAAAGGAAAACTTTCCCACACATATTCAAGTATATGCATGTACTAAAGTATAATATCTGCAGTTACATTGTAGTGGCCTGAGTAGTTATCAAAAAAGGCCTTGCTGTGCTGAATTTCTTTTGCACATGAAATTCCTTTCAGTTATCACTACCACGTTGTTTGTGTATGGGAGGGGGGAGAGTGGAGTAGAATTCCATTTTAAAGATGCAAACTTGTTGTTCCTTTATTTATGTTTCTTTCATCTCCACAAGACAAAATACTCAGCAAATATAGGGTGTTGTTGTTTTTTTAAATAGAATAATAATTCCAAAACATATCATAAGTTGAGGGAGGGGGAAGAGACGTAAGTCTAAATCTTATTGTTCCTTTTATTTCAAAGAGGGAGGAAAAAACCTGAATGATTCTCATCCCTTTGATTGATTAAGGTCCTGAATAACTTGAGGCTTGAGAGTGACAGCTACTGAATAGACTATTACAAATAAAAAAGGCCACTGTGGAAAGCCGGGCTGGCACTTCAGAGTGTAAAGGAGGAGAGTTTGCTGGCACTTACCAAGTTATAAATAAAAGGACACGCACAATAGTACCTTCTTTAAAGACAGACAGTCTTTACAACACTCCTGGCGTCATATCCTGCTGTGGTCACTTCAGCTCCTAGTCAGTCTTTTCTTTTCTCTCTCTTTTTTCTTTCTTTCTTTCTTTTAAAAAACCTTTTATTCCCCCACCCTCTCCCCAGCAGTTTAGTTTCAATGCTACAATAAATTCCTGGGAGGAACGGCTTCTTAGCAAAGTGCACTTTAGCAAACATATATATGAGAGCTGTATATGCACCAAATATACGGAGAAGGAAAAAGATAGAAAAACAAGGTGACAGAAACACGACTCTAAAGGGCTCTGCCGGTCTCTTTTCAATTTTTAAAGCAGGCAGGGACACTTTCCCCAGATTCCTTGGGATCTTGTGGTCCTACTTGTTGCTGTCTTCCCTAAAAGAAACCTGCCTGCACCAAAGGTTTATTCCATTCCCACGCAACTTAAAAGTTTTGGAAAGTTCAAAAACAGAAAGGTAGCAATGGAGGTACAGAGAGTTCTGCTGGAGGCCAGATCCACGCCCGGGAGAATCTCACTGGAGCCAGAAAGACAAAGGCACGTCTCAAGAAAAGAAGTTTCCGAAATTCTCCTTTTTAATTTCTCCCAGGCGCACAGATACAGCTTGCATGCTTGTAACCTCCCAGCAAAGGAAGAAAAAAGGTAGCCTCTATTTGTCCGTCTCTCTCTCTCTCTCTGTGTGTGTGTGCGTGTGTGTGTGTGTGAGAGAGAGAAAGAGAAGCAAAAAAGACACTGACTTCAAACCACGCAGGGGGATGCTGCCTTCCTCAGCGTAACCCCCCCCCCCCACACACACACAGCGGCCTTGTGCCAAAAGAAACTGTAAAAAAGAAACAAGGAGAAAAAATAAAGAAGAGGAGGAGGGCGAAGCATGGACCGTGCTCCTTTCTTCCACCCCGACCCCACTCTCACCGTTTCCCCTCTCCCTTGCCCCCTCCTGCTTTTTCTCCTGCTCGGGCATTTTCTGAAAGAAAACACACTTGATCCAGTGACGAGAGAGAGAGAGAGAGAGAGGAGCGCCGGGTCGCCCTCCTCCCCGGGCAAAAGCGCCCGGGTTCGATTGTAATGATGAGAAGAGAAAGTTGGCGCTTTCGTCCAATCAGCGCCCGGCTACTCCAGACGGGACAGTCTGCCGCCTGGCCAATCGCGGCGCAGAGATCCTGGGGAAGCTTGGAGTGAAAGAACTAATAAATACTCCCGAGCCGAGTTTCCTTTCACTCCGTATCCACAACAGGAAGACATCATTCCTGCCACTCAAGCCCAGGTCCTTTCTGAGTGAGCGCGTCCCGGGGGGGGGGGCAGGGGGCTGGCGGCTCGCGGATCTCGCTCCTCGCAGGGGCTGAAGCTGCGGCCAGTCGCGCAAAACTTTCTCCTTCCCTTCCTTTCTTTCTCGCGCGTCCTCGCTCCTCTCTCTCTCTCTCTCTGCGGATAAGGGGGTCGGTTTGAGCTCTTAAGCTTTATTGACAAACAGAAAAAGTGAAGCGATCCTCCCGCCCCCTTCCTATCGTCTAATCCCCTCCTTCTGCTTTCCTTTTCTTTAAAATCCCGTTTTCCCCCCCGAGAAAAACAAACACCCCTCCCACACATAACATTCCAACTCCTCACTTTCTTCCCTGAAGATCTTTTAGCTCTAAGTTGCTCTGCTTTGTGACCTCTGCTTTTTTCCTTATACCTGGATATAATACATCGCAAGAAAGTCAAGCTGCGTCCGAAATGACAAGTCTGGGTGGAGCTGTCCCGAGGATGATGCGACCAGCTCCCGGACAGAATTATCCTCGCAGCGGGTTCCCATTAGAAGGTAAGGCCGTGGAGCAGGATAAGGGGGTCGGGGCGGCGGGGGGTATTTTTTTTGGGGGGGGGGGGGGACAATTGTCGCTTACTGTTAAGGAGCGAGACCGCTGGCATGTGTGTGTGGATGGAGAACTTGTGCGGTGAGTAGAGTAGTAAGGAACCTCTCAATTGACACTCACACGACCAGGGAGTCAACAAGCAAGAAGATTAAAGCCACAATTGTATGCACACTTACTCGGGATAAACTGATACCCCTGTCCAAGTAAGGGTATTTTGGATTTTGATACAGGCTTGTCTCAACACAGGGAAGAGCACCATGCAAACCCCCCCCCAATATGTCCCCAAATTATAAATATTTGTATCTAACTTTTTATAGAGGCGAGTAAAGAGAGAAGAAACTAAGAAAGTCTCTGGAGAAAATAGAAAGCTGAGCAGTAGACATCACATCAGTAGCCACATCAGTCAATTCTCATTTTTACTGAGTATGTCAATTTCCCTTGACAGCAGTGAAATTACGTGCATGTCCGTGGATAACTGTACCTTTGCAGGTGGACCAGTCAAAAGAGCCAACCTCAACGTAGGAATAAGGATCCCCAGTTTCTAATTGCGTCCGAAAACCTCTTCGCCTGAGGGAGGTTTCACAGGACCAGCACTTTTATTTGATTTTATCTTGCTCGATGGCAAGTTACCGTTATTACCGCTAATTCTACCATAATTAACCTGGCAATCTTTAATTCAGTACTGCTGCTACCACCGCTGCCACACCGTAACAAAATAGATAGACGTTCATATGGAGCAACTGATTGAAAACAACTTGTTGTTCAGCACACTTTTCTCCTCTATTTCCTTCTATCTCTTTGGTCTAATACTTTATAAATAATCGAAAGCAGGCCGACAAGGCTCAGCCGCAGATAGGAAAATTCATGCAGACGCTCTTAATTTGTTGACGGTTGCTTTTTAATTTCTTTAATCCTAAGGAAAGTTTTCAAGGACATTTCTGAAATTCTTTTTGCTCGTTTATCAAAACCGACCAAAGTAATAAAGTTTTGCTTTTCTTTTCCCCCACCCTCATAAGAAAGAGGAAAGAAACAGGTGGAGCTTTTCTTTAATCAGACGATTTCTAATTATTTACTCACATGGGAAGGCATGTGGCAACATCTCAGTCAGCTGGTGGGAAAGTTACAAATGGGAGAGCAAAGTGAACTAAATTATCCAAATGGCTTTAGGATTAATTTCAGTGTGTATTAACAGGAGGGACATTATGAGAAGGAAAACGCAACACACACGCAAAGCACACCTTTCTGGATCAATTCTTCAACTCAAAACACAAACATGATTCTATATCGTTCTCAGCATTACTCCTTCTCCAGATCCTTGTTAACTTACCATTACTTAGCTTTATTCCCACAAGTTAAACACCCTACAGACTAAAACATTTTAAAAGTTGTTTAAAAACAACAGGGGGTTTAATCCTGATTTAATGAATTTAATACAGGGCCACTGAAATCAATAGGGCTTAAGTCAGTCCTCACTAACTTGTTCCCTTGTTTTCAGCGGGTTTACTCTACACGCGGTTAAATCTCAATCCGATTTATAGTTTATTTAAAATACTACGGATTTTTACAACTAGTTTAAAAATGTCCACAGTGGCTCCCCTCTTCCTTGAGATAAACAAGAAAGGGGATAGAACAAATTAATGCAATGCAGGGTAGTTATGAATCGGGTAAAGCATTGCACATTGTTACTGTTTGCTGTTTCTCATATTTTCCCACCTGGATCTGGTGTGTGTGTGTGTGTGTGTGTGTGTGTGTGTTTAACTCAGGAATTCTTACCCCATCTTATTTTCAGGGAGAAAGGGGATGAGAAGGCTTCAGTTACATAGAAGCCCTTGCCAAAACTTGACATTTTCCTTCTGTGTTGGGGAGGAAGAACAAAATACTGTATAAAACATGCAACGGTCTGTGGCAGCAAAGGACGCCCTGTTGCCAAACTCGTGCTGTATTGCGGAGTTCGAAGCCCTGGTAGGTCAGAAATCGAAGACCGAAAGACTTATTCGGCTAAAACTCCACACACTTTTACATGGGAAGAAGTTTTTGCTGAAGGCCATAGCTTTTTTTTCCTGCTCAGTATCAGAATGAGTATCTGTTCCCTTAACCAGAGAATTTGAGATGGTTCAAAATCCCCACTGCATCCAGAACTCTGCACCAAGGAGGGACCGAGGTCCACACTTTTGCTAGCATCCCGGTGTTGGCATGACTGCCAACAGTCTCTTAATGGCGTCAGGAAGCCATGGAACAAAGCTAAGGGATCTTTAAGGCACACTTTTGAAGTGCCAGGGAAAAGCTAAAGTAAAGGGGATCCCCTAATCATCTGAGGAGTCCAAACAGGGTCTAGTAGTACTCGTGTCCCTTTGTGTCGTGTGTGGTTATATGTCGATGTGAAGGCAAGGGTCTGGATACCTGGATGGTCTCGAACCATTTTCCTCTCACACTGTTTTTGTCTCCTCTCCTCCTAGTGTCGACTCCCCTGGGCCAAGGCCGAGTCAATCAGCTGGGGGGCGTTTTCATCAATGGGCGTCCTCTGCCCAACCATATCCGCCACAAGATCGTGGAGATGGCCCACCACGGCATCCGGCCCTGCGTCATCTCTCGCCAGCTGCGCGTGTCGCACGGCTGCGTTTCCAAGATCCTCTGCAGGTACCAGGAGACCGGCTCCATCCGGCCCGGGGCCATCGGAGGCAGCAAGCCCAAGGTGAGGAGGAAGGGGGTTATGGTGCCAAGGGATCAAGAAAGGGGAAACAAGCAGGGCAGTTTGGGGCCACAAATCTGGTGAATTTATTCTCAATCCGGTTTTTCTAATGCCCTGAGGGAAAGAAGAAGGCGAAGAAGAAAAGAGTTGGGAAAAGTTATTTTGCTGGATGCCAGCTTTCAGAATCCTTCAGCCAGCACTAGCCATGCAGGCTGGGGGATTCTGGGAACTGTTGTCCAAAATGTGTCTCCCTAGCTGTGCACTTAGTAAGCTCTCTCCTTTCGCCGCCACTTTCAGTGGAGGTTTCTGGAGGGTTTGGAGAAACAGTCACTTGAACAGGAGCAGTTGAAACATACTGTAAAGAAAAGCATGCAGATTTTGATGAAATGTGTGGAGAAGAAACCTAGATGGGACAGAGAGAAGCTCAATAGACGCTCCTGCACTTCCAAAGCCCAGTATCAAATGCATCCTGTTTCTCATCTCCAACCGCAAGCATGCATGCCTCTACATGCACACGTCTCCAGCCACAGAATAGCATTTGCAAAAGTTACATGCTGAATCGTGTAACCTTTGCTCCCTGATCCATAGCTAGACATGCCTAAGATTGGCCTTTCATCCCTGTTGCCAAAGAGGAAAGAGACAACAGAGGACTCCCGGGTCTTCCCCAACTCCGCTCTGAATGCATGGCTTCTGGTGGCTTGGTGGAAGAACCCCTTCTTCTTAGTCCGCTTTTACGTCCATCCCTTCCCCCTCCCAATCCGGAGCGAGACTGGTGTTGATTAGTCTCTCCTGCCGATCCCAAACACGGCCGAGTTTTTTTCTGCCCGCCATAAGAATTCACAGCGCGAGTCTATCGAGCAAGCCTTCTTTTCGGGAGAGAGCTCCACTGAGTTTAAGGAGGCTCACTCCCAGCAAAGTGGGTATATGCTGGAACACGTTTGAATCTCTAGCCCCCAAAGTATTCCTGATTTAACTTTTTTTCCCACCGGAATATCCCTGAAATTGTATTCCAGGCAAGTCTGGTTCTTCAAAAGGAGGAGTAGCTCTTAGACAATAGTTAGACACCTTAACTTCCAGACGACACTGATGAGGGAGCATTTATAGCCCAGAACCAGTACATTGTGACTGGTTCGAAGCCACTTAACTTGGGGCGGCGGCGGGGGGGGGAAAGGAAGAATCTTATACAAAGAAGATAGGGATCAGTAGGTCTACAATGGCCTTGGAATAGATGTGTCAATAAATCTAGCATGTAGTTGATTTTAGATCACACCGCTAATGGAAATGGACCCGGCCCTTTGGCCAGCCTCTGTGGTCTGCGTCCTTTCTATCCGGTTTCTGTCAAATCTTGCCCTAAGCAGATTTTGTGGAAAGTAGATCGCACAGAAATTAACTGGTCTGCTTTCAAGCACATATGCTCTGGAGTGGAGCGATCTCTTCTTTATTCCGTATCTTACACCAAAGCTACATGAAATATGCCAATTTAAAATATAGCAATCTAGCAATAAAGAACAATTAAAATGTCAAGACAATCAGACTATTGTTGATCAGAAGCGGCCAGCCCTTCAAAAGTTGTGAAGAAAGTCCAGCGGGTCGTCCGGGGGGGGGGAGAGGGGGGAGGGTTCGGTGCTCTTCCAGTGCAAGGCTTCTGGTTGGTTCTGTATCTCCCTGTGTGTTTGATTTTGCCTATATTTCATATGCGTCCATGATTTTGAATTGTGCAGCGCTCTGTTACTAATCAAGAAAGAACCACAGCTACACATAGTACTTGTTGGATATTTCCGAATCGGCCTATTATACGCAAATTGTTAATGCAGAAAAATACTGAACTACCTCTCCAGATTACAGTCGAACGTTTTTATTTGTTTATTTTAATATGTCCTATAACATTCCAGGCTTTTTAATAAATACATCTTCAATTCCATTTTTTCTGACATTCTCTCCACCCCCCCCCCGTCAATTTATGATTTAGCTTACAGACCAAACGGATTTGCTTATTTGAAATGTTAAAGACGAAAATATACCATTTTATATCACCTCTCCGTTTTCTGGGAATTCTTAAACTAAAAGTCAGGATTTTGTTTTATTTTTCCACGGAAAGGGGAAATTTTTTCCCACTCCATGAAAGGTTTTGTAATTGAGGGCAATCAGATTATTCTGATTTCCCCGGGTTTGGAAGGGGAGACATCCCATGTAATTTCTTGCCGTTGATTTTCAAAGGATTGTCTTTCGGGGTTTGTTGTTTGGAAGGCTCTCCAATGAACTTTTGAAATTCTTTTACGACACTTTTCTTTTGTCATCCAGTATTCTTCCCCGTACACGTTGGTTCTTCCTTCTCCCGCTCAGCTGCTGGGAAGTTGTTTTAATTTTTCCCTCTCATACTTTTTTTTTGGGGGGGGGGGATGTTGTAGAAGTCCGGTTGATTTCATTGGGCCCTTTATTGAGGGCGGAGCGGGCGGGGGTGCCATTCGCCTTCTTAATTGACCCCTTTTTGTCGGCCTGTTGAGTCTCCTGTATTTTACTCTGATCGCAATGTGTATCGCTTGCAGGTTAGGCTTATCCGTGTATATCCAGGATCCCGATCCTTTATTCCTCTCTCCCACCCCCGTGGTCACAGGTTTAGGGAAGAGTGGTGTTAATTTGAAAAGCTCGTGTCCCCGTCATTTCATATCCTTGCCTCAGCTGTTTTACGTCAAGCTGACACCCCAAGGGTCTAGTTGAAAAGCTGATGAGATGAAGCGTCCTTCAGACAGGATGCTGGATTTTGTCCTGACTTTCAACAGCACCAACCCGAAGCGATTCACTTCCTAATGCGCTCCAGATTTGAGGAACCCTCAGTTTTAGTTCCCTTTCCCTTGTTCTTCACTTTCCATTTCGTTTCTCCCCCCCCCGCAC